AAACTTAAGAGAGTTTTCTATGCAACAATAAACATTTTATGAAATCGCTTAGATTATTGAAGATTTATTTACGTTGCATTTCCGAACAGACTTTTGGAACAGTCATTTTATCAATAATTTTGTTTTAAAATACGAGCTAATGCGCAAGAGGACAACTCTTCAGAAGGCATTTTTTCTCAGAGTAACGAGTCTTCGTCAAACACTTTTCACTACAACTGAATAGTGCTGATCATGTGTCTATTTAATAAAACTTGTCAACAGTACGATGTAACTTAATCGACTGTTGAAGAAATAAAATTACTATCAATGTAAATAATCAACAACGGCAATCTAATTGAATGCTGTTTCTTCTATTTCATAACATGTTCGACGACAATCAGTCCATTTTGAGGATGCGTGGTTTCCATAAATGATCGAAACCCACACCCTTCAATTTACAAAAAAAGGGAAATATTGGCATTGCTGTAAGGGTGGCTGTGGATCTGCATGAAGGTCATTTTTTTCACCTATACAGACCTCATGTCCACACTCAGCTACTGCAGTCGGACATTCGCTTTAAAAAAAGAAGAACTTCATATATATACTATAATGAGACTGCACGAAAACTTTTACATTGCCAAACGAGATATTTTTGATCGTTTTTTAATAGATATCTCTCGAAAACGTTATGTTATAAGGCTGAGTATTTTAGCATAGTCTCTCCGATACGGTTCCAACGTATCCCTAAAATTTCGTGAAATTTAAATGCACCTAAATTAAGATCCATTTTTAAGTGTTAGAGTCGTACTGATTCATGCCATGAGAACAATATCAAATTTGAGTGTAAATGAAATCTATAATATCAATTTTCTACTAAGTCTACAAAAAGAATATTCGTATTTTAGCGAACTCTATGGTCGCTTGTACTTCATTGGATCATGAATATCCAATAGACATTACTTTTTGTGCATGGATACGATATCAATATGAATGATAAAGCTGATCAATGAAAATTTGGTGCACAAGTAAGTTGCATCAGATTTGTTTCTGATTGTTGATCAGCATCAACAAATACTTATACTTCTGTATTACAACCAGCGTCGTATAGATGTGTTTTACTTTACGGTTAACTGAAATAATACTAATATGAATTGATACCACTTCAGCATTATGTGACACGGTCGAATATGGCATAGGTTCGCCAGTGGATATGAAAAAGTGAATCTTTTTGACTGCTAGAGTGAGGTTAACACCATTGTCTAACAAAATTATTCCATTTCTTATTTGTCTTGCATGCTAACATCGTTCATTCATCCCACACAATGCAATTTGAATCACCATTGTTACATGAATAGTAACTATCGAAGCATTTACAATGATTATAAATTTTCATATATTAATATGGTCCACACCAGAATTCTAAAAGCTATCAATTGTTGTCAAATCACTACAAAACGTAAATATATTACAGAATAACATCGATTTTTTAAAGAAGGTTCAAAGATATTCATCAAATGACCATATGGTGTGTTGATATAAGCAAAATTGAGACAAAGAACTATTGTCGAATTCAGCACAAAAACAAAAATACTTATTTCATCAGAATAAACTAACAGTTTTGATTATCTTTATATTATAATGTTTTTCTTTTGTTTATTGATGCCTTGTATTTTGTTGTTAATTATAAAGATATTATTCAAAATTAACTTTGAAATATTTTCATAGAAATTGTTTAATTTCAGTGTTGTATTAAAAAAATAGATAACACTCATTGTTTTTCTCCTACTTAAAATCATTGAGACTTATAAAAAAAAAGGGAAACTTAAGTCTCAGCAATATTTCAGAAGTTGTAAAAATTCTTTTAGCACCATATAATTAAATAGTTTCCGGTGCTAAATTTCAATGCCTGCAACCAAAGTTCTTATAAATTTTCGTGTTTTTTTTAATTAGAGAATGGTATCTATTTATAATTTTTTTCGTCAAATACTTCCGTTCTCAAAAAAAAATGATATCATACGAGTCAATTATTTTAACGAATACATTCATGAGAAATAACTCTTATTCATCATAATTTGATTAATATTAGGACAAAATGCAAATTATTGCATTGAATCAACTTTAAATAACTTCTGAGTCGCATAAAACAATTTAAGCGAATTTATACAACACTAAAAACGAGCAATTTAACACTTTGTTTTTTTTCTCTATCAACTTAAAGAAACTTCATGAATTAACAGGAGGGCACATATCCAAAGCATGAAATTCGCCAATATAAACAAAAGTTTATCAACTGCGTATGAATATGAATTCATTCAAAGTAATTCAGTCTGACAATTAGTTCCTAATCTATTCATAGCTAACAGAACATACATTGTCAAAGAACTACTCGAAATTTTGTTAAATATTGCTGAATTATATAATCTTCCATTTATGAATAATCGTAATTCATTTGTTGAACCATATGTTCGCACGATATGAATCCATGGATTTCTCGGAATAATAATGTATGTGTGATTTATTCTTATTACAATGTGCACAACCAAATTAATCTAAACCCACACTCGTCCCGAGGTGAACACTTGGTTGGGAAAAGAGAATGTGTCATAAATTTGTTTGTCTTATGAGTTGTTACTATCTGGATAATATTTATTGGAGATATGATTATTATTTAACATATCATAAAGATTGAATGTGTTGGAATTAATCATAACTAATTAATAAAACAAGATGCATACACACGGAGAGTTCTAATTTACAGCTGTTTAATCGTAAATTTTTCCACATGTATAAACTAGAGGAAACATAGATCTTAAATAATACTTCATCTTCGATTGTATTTAACTTCTTCATCAAAATGAATTATTGCTATTTGCTAGACTTTTCAATTGTCTGTAATGATTGTTTCATGTTTCGTAAAGCGCAATATAAAGAGAAATTAAAGTGATGAAGTGCGAAAACTTTACGGAAAAAAGCTATTTTTTTCCTTTTCTTTTTACTGTGTCTTTGTTTTTTTTGTCATGATCCCAGGAATTTTCTATTAATAATCAATACCTAGATTTTTTCTTTTATTATTGTGTATGACGCATGGTAGTGTATCAAATTGAAATAATCATTTTGCAAAATTTTCTTTCCTCATATTATATCGATTAAGGTGTTTTTTTATATAAATATTTATCTTCTATTTATGAAAAATTCTTTCAAATTCATACATTGATCATTTACTACAAGAGATCTTTGTTAAATCATTTTTTTTTCGTTAATTGACAGATGAGACATTATCGTTCAGTGCCGTTCGGATTTAACTAATTAATATACAATTATAAAATACAATCATTACCGATATAGTTGTTGGTGTGTTTAATGAAAAAGATTATTTGCTATGGTGTTTTATAGTTACACATTTATGTGTTTGATTGCTTGTATTATTTAAACAATTATTTGTCATTCTCTCTTTATTTCATATGAATAATATTCATTTTAAATATTCTGAAGATAAAATAATTGATATTTCTCACGAAGGAGTTTTGCGTATCCTCGATTTGAACTTAAAGAAAACACTCAAAATAGTTTTTCTTTACGTCAAGGATATTGACTAGATTTAATTAAGAATGAGTTACGATAATTCAGTACAGTTGATTATATAAATTATTTTTGTCATAGATAATTTCAATGTTCTTTTTTTATGTCTAAGATGTTATAATTCTTGTATTTATGATCATTGTCATCACCTATACTCTACTATATATACTTGTACATCATACACAAACATTTACTGATACGAGAAATGTATTGTATCATGTTTTCATCCTTATTCGACACTATAGGAATCTTTTATTGTTTTATCTCCATCATTATCACATTCAAAGATAACTAATTATATTCTATTATTATCATAGCATTGACATGGAAAAACGATTACACGGACTGTTACAGGCAGGCTAACCCTGCAAAAAGTCTATCTTTGTCAATATCTGATATATACGTATTAATATTTAGTGAAAGGTAATTAAGTAATCATCTTTAAGTTCTGTCAATGATTAATTATAACAAGATATATGTCCATGTAACAAGCTCTACATACATGAATATTATCCTTCGTTTTACTAAATAACAAGAAATGGGTTTTGAACAAAAAAAAACCAGAATCGCTTTATGCACTTGGTAAGGTTTCTTCTAATCAGCAATGAGCATCTTTACATTAGGATGTATTTATTATAAACAAAATAATACAAAAATGGCTTGCACATATCAAAAAATGTCTACTATAATGAACTAAATGAAAGACGAACAAACATATGTGTTGTATATAATTGTTTGAGAAAATCCTATAATATAATTGAAAAAAGTTATTAATTATATATTATTCGAAAGTCAACAGTTCAATATTTTTGAATCATTATAAAAATGATATAATTCATTCTTCAAAGTAAAACTTTTCTAAATTATAAAGAAAAATTTGCAAAAATAGTTTATAATTTCAAATTTATGAGAAAAGTCTTCGAAGAATAACCTGTATCAATTATGATCAATGATACTTTGTCTGAGAAAAAAAATCTTATTCGGAACTTGTATTCTCACAAACGGTTACCTTATGTATTGAATGATTCTTTTTCTCTAACATATAATGACATCTATCATTTCTCTAGGCGACCGGCTCTCTATACAACGTTGGTGTTTTGTTCTCCTATATAATAAAACAAGGTTTGTAAACAGAAATAAACAAAAAGTCAGTTGATTAGTTATTTGATTCGTTGGTTTTTTTTCTGTAGTAATAAAAAAAACAATATGGATGGATGAAGACATTTTGTTTTTCATTCAATATAAACATATTAATTTTTGATAGAAAACAAATCTATTTCTATGATTATTTATTTATTTATTTTCTTTTTTTGCTTTCAGTTGTTTCTTCGTTCTCGTTTGTCCTGTTGTCCTTTTGCGATGGTCGTTGTTTTTGTTCGTCAATATTCGTTTTCGTCTAGTTTATTAATGTACTTTAATCAACAAATCATCAATAATTACTCATGAATACATCAGGAAATTTTACACCATCTTCATCGGCTGTTGTATCAACAACAAATATTGATAAACATGAACCCGATGCTGATGCAATTAAAATGTTTTGTGGTCAAATTCCACGTAATATGCATGAGTCAGAATTGCGTGAAATGTTTGAACAGTTTGGTCCTGTCTTTCAATTAAATGTTTTACGTGACAAACAAACTGGTGAATCAAAAGGTTGTTGTTTTGTTACATTTTATACACGAAAAGCAGCATTAGATGCTCAAAATGCTCTACATAATCTACGTACATTAAATGGTTGTCACCATCCAATACAAATGAAACCGGCTGATGCAGAAAATCGAAATGGTTAAAGACAAAAAAAAATAGAATTTTCCTATTATCGATTATATTTTGTTTTGTTTTTCTTTTTAGAACGAAAATTATTTGTTGGTATGATATCGAAGAATTTCGATGAACAAAGTATTCGTGCACTTTTTCAAACATATGGAGCTATTGAAGATTGTACAGTATTACGAGATCCAAATGGCAAAAGTCGAGGTTACAATATTCTTGTTTTTTTTAGTTAATATTAAATGAATTTAAAATATATGTAAATAATAGGATGTGCTTTTATTACATTTCAAAAACGTCAATGTGCTGTCAATGCAATAAAATCGATGCATCAATCTCAAACAATGGAAGTAAGAAAATTTCTTGCATTGATATCTAAGAAAACTTATTTATTTAGGGTTGTTCATCGCCACTTGTTGTTAAATTTGCTGATACACCAAAAGATAAAGAAGCAAAAAAAACTCAACAACAAATACCTAATTATAATAATCCTTTTATGCAACAAATGACTGCAGGAAATTCCATAGTAATATACATGAAATTATCAGTTTTTTTTTATACTTTTTTATCGAAAACAATTTTTGTTTTTTTAGCCCAATCCTCAACATATGAATGCATATAATTTTTTACCTGAATTAGGTAATTTAGTATTTCTTCAAGAATTATTAAAGAATTATGGTTTTATTGGTAATAATGGCAATGGTAAATAAAAATTATGAATATTTTATTTATTTTATTACACAATTCTTTATATTATTTAGTTATTAATTTTCCAGCATTAAATAATCTTTTACAAATGTTTACAAATAATATGAATTTAAATTGTAATAAATTACCTATTCTTGTACCACCGAATACTTCATCGAATATGACATCAAATTCTCAACATGGAAATAATCGATCATTAAATATTCAAGAACAACAACAACTTACACTTGATTCACCTCGATTACCTTTATCATCTAATTCGAATAATACATCTTATAGTAATGAATCTTCTTTACTTATGTGTGGTCCAAATACGAATGGTCCACCAAATACTCATCTTAATCCAAATAGTAGTTTAACACCAACAATAGCTACACCTAGTAATGCTCCTTATCCTCCTACAATGCCGCCACTTTATGCTAACAGCCCTAGTTCATTGTCGAATGCTGCTACAGGTAAATTATATTTGATAGATAATTCAAATTTTAATGTATTTATATAATTAAGATGCTCATCATAATTTACAAAATCTTGTTGCAATGTCTCAAATGAATAATGGAGGTAAATAATAATTTAATTGAATATAATTATTAATGATATATTATTAAAAGGCCTCTTGCCGACAGCAACTTCACCTGTAGCAGCATCTGGTAAGTTATCTTATTGTGATTCGTTTTTTTTTCTTGTCAGAACTAAATAATGAGGAGTATTGTGTTTATTTTTCATCGAAGAATACAAATAATAGTTTTAAAATCTTGTGAAAATCACAAGACTTAATCGTAAAAATAATTTAACTGCCATGAAGCGATCATTCAAAGTACAGTGAACATTTCGATTATTTGTTTAGTCGAAAAAACAAAAGTTATGATTTCATTTTTTTTTAAATGATTCATAGTAAATATGTAATAGGTGGAGATGAACATGGGATTTTCTGATTACAATTGAAGAATTCGATATACTTCATAGAAAGAGAAAGTAAAAAAAAATGTACACAACTAAACTTCACTTCTTACAGAATAGAACAGTGTCCACAAGAAAAACTTCAAAAGCAATAACAGAAGATCGTGGTTTTTTTAGAAACCCAACTAATTTTTTTGAAACTTTAACGCTTAAATACTTCATTTTCAGTGAAAAGCCTGGTTTTCTAGTACTCACTTGCTAAAAACACCTTTTCATATAGCAGAAGAGTTTTTCTAGGTAAAACTACCAAAAATCATGCTCATCATAAAGACTATGATCTTTTACTTTTGAGAGTAGAGCTCACCGAATTGATCGCAGAATCGGGTCCCAAAATTTTGGATCCGATAGGCTCTATTCAAAAGAAGGTAATTTATGTAGTCGTAGAAAACGAAAACAAAGTTTCCACTTGGGATAAGATCTGATCGCGTTATAATCACGCTGTAACTTCGTTACAAATGACCATATATTTTTCAAAGCAATGTTACATTTATGGAGAAAATATTTCTTATGAAAATATGATCTCGAAATGTTTCGTTACTTTGTGTTTATTTTCTCATAAATAATTAATATTTGATTCTATTACCGAAGCCAACAAAGTCTCGTGCATATTTTTAATTATAAGACTGTTTTATTTTATTATATGTACTTACGCAGTACTGTTAAACAGACTATAGACAGAAAACTACTATAGTCAGAAAAGAAAATGTATGAGAAACAAAAAGGTGTTCATTGCGCCTGAAAATTTGCTGCTTTGTAGGCACTGAAATTCTATGCAAATTTATACAGTTTGACAATGTCTTTTAAAAACAAATCTGTCGTCACTACAATATACATCTCTGCTGAACAATAAAAAAAATTCCTATATTTTGTTTCAATCTTTAATAAATCTATTTATCATAATATTTTTCTAGCTTCCTTTCCTGTCTTTCCATCAGCATCATATCTTTCTTCTCAAGTAGCTGGTAAACATACCGAAGGTTTGTTTGAATCAATTCTTATTTATTTTCTTTTGAAAAAATAAATAATTGTATTTGCTAAAATTAGGTCCTGATGGTGCTAATCTATTTATTTATCATCTCCCACAAGAATACAGTGACACAGATTTAGCTCAAGCTTTTGCACCCTATGGACCAATTATATCTACTAAAGTATTTGTTGATAAAACAACAAATCGAAGCAAATGTTTTGGTAAATTTTCTAGTTGTTACTTTCTTCATCAAAAAATTAAGAATTTTTTTCTTTTGTTATTAAGGTTTTGTAAGTTATGATAATCCAACATCTGCTCAATCAGCTATAAATCAAATGAATGGTTATCAAATTGGATTGAAACGACTTAAAGTTCAATTAAAAAAACTTCGAAGTAGTCCAAATAATAATTTAAATAGTCCAAATGGAAATCAGACTCAAACAATTATAAATAATAATTCAAACAATCATAATGGAAATTCACCAACAACAGCAAAGAAATGTTCCTATTAAATAAACCAAATTTATTATATAAAAAAAAGAATAATATTAATAGCACATTTCTGTATCTTCACAGTTTGTTTCTTACGTTTGTAAAAGGCCTATTTTTTTTTGTCTTCTATTTATAATATATAAATTTTGTTGTCTTATTGTCCTGTATTATATCTATTGTCATTGCATCGATTAACAAAAATAAATAAATATATATATATACTAACGCTTTTTTTTTGCATGATTGTATAAGTATATTGTATGGTTTTTCTTTTTCTTTTGTTCTATTTTTGCAGTGTTATCTCATCGATTTCTTATCGTTACTATTAGTCTTGAATATTTGCCCATTTTTCTCATATGTAGCTTCTTTTTTTTTTAAAAAAGCGAAACTATATATTTAATTGTTTTTTTGTTGTTTGTTCTTTATTCTGTGTTGATTTTTTATTTGTCTGTTTGTTCGTTGATTGTTTATCGTTGTTGTTTGTAAGTATGGAATCAACACGAGTATTATAACAAACAAACAAGAATTTCTTAACATATATATATATATATATATCTATATTTTTCTTTTATTAAAAAACATAAATGTAAGAATGGTATTGATAATAATCGAATAAACAATTCTTTAGTGTTCGCCACTCTCAAGATAAATCTATTAAGTCGTTTACGCATTCTATTGATTACAGACATGTTTCCTTAATTAGAAGGAAAAGGCTCGTAAACTAGAATCGGGCAAAGACAGACAAAAACGGCCATATATTGGAGAAGATCTGCAAAACGGAATCGACGTGGTGGAGAGAAAAAATTTCCATCTCATGTAAACAAGCGAAAATCGATACAGTAAGATGATCAGTGTAGATAATTTTAGTTGAAAACTAATATAGCATTTTGTAATATTATTGAAGAAATTAGCAATGTAGACCGAAGTTTTCTTGTATTAATAGATGATATTCTTCGTACATATAAGACGGACCATAAATAGTTAGGCCAAACGATTAAGAGCCGAAATCAGGGTGATTTTCAATCCTAACCTCTTTTCTTGCGTTCTGATCTTTTCCTAGAAATTTTCTGTTATGGATAAGAAACGTTTGTAATCTTTCGTCAGGACAAATTGACTATGTAAAAGTGAAGTTTGATTTCCAATCATTTAAAAAGAACTAGTTATTTTCTTTCGAAAAGAAACTGAATTAGATCATATTCTGAAGGGTAATATATATTAAAAAGATAGAAGATAAGACAAATCACAATGGTATGATTTGATTGCCAACATATCTGAAATTCATTTGATAGATATTACAAAAAACTATGCAAGAAATTTAGCAAAACATCTGATAACTAAATAGTTTAAATTCAATAAAATTTTAACGATTTCAGCAATTGAATCTAATGAATGTGAATGAAATTTTCTGTATTACAATGCAATAAAACAAAACTCCTCGAGACAGCTGTAGTATTTGGTGTAGTCAAGCCACATATTACGGAAAGAGGTTTAGATGATATTGTATAACATTTATTTATATACTCATGATGGGCAAACGTTCACAAAGTCAAAACATATAGAAACAGTATTGATAATGAACAATTTTGTGTGTAATAAAGATATTTTTGTTTTAATTGACCTGAAATTTCTTTACGAGTTTCTTAAGATGAGCAGCAGCAACGAAGAAAAAATTGTTCCCAATTGATAACACAAGTATTAAAATTTTTGAATAAATAGTTTTTCTGAGCTTTGGGGAACTTGTTTTTCTTAATGTTTTTTGCTTATAAGCACAATCAAACGACAGGTATGTAATTAATACTACGATAAAAAGAAAAGAAGTGTCTCCTCATTTATGCATGATTATTATTGGTATTATGAAAGAAATTTTATCTGTTATCAAGTAAGAACAATAGAAGTGTAGTGCGTCATGGATAACTTTTAGGTTTCATTTAAGAGAAAAATAAGGAAAAAATCAAAACGAACATTACGAAAGATATTATTTTGATGCATTTAGAATCAGTTTTCAAAACTACGTAGTTACTTAAAAGTCAACAATTTGAAGATTTCGGATTTCCAAATATGTAACACTAGTTATTGCAAAAAAGTTGGTGTTCATAGAGTAGTAATAGTATGTTTTGCTTGTGGAACACAAATTACAGCATTTAACATAAAGTTCGTTTTAGTGTCTTTTTATTATTTTATCCTATTTCAGTTCATTATCCAATACGACTACTGCCCCTTTATCCATCAAAGCAGTAAACAGAGAAGAGATATATATTGATGAATGTTGTTGTCAGTCTTTTTTGCTTAAAATTGTTTAGAGGATTTTCTCGTATGAAAGATTCAAATCTTATGACCTGGAGCTTTTTGACAAAATCCTCGTCGAATATTGAATATTTCGCAAAAATCAGCAATGGTTCGGTTTGAACAGAAATAATCTTAATACTGATCGATATCTCCCAAAAGAGCTAAATCAATGACAAATAAAAACATTTTAATTCAGAAACTTGAGTCTTAATAATTATCAATATATCAAAGTGTTCGATACAACTGACAAGAATAATCTTGATTATGAACTTGACAAAAATTCGATATTCAATTATGTTTCGTTTTTTTTACATGATAAATCTTGTCTGATGATGTGCAATAGTACTCTACTCAAATTAAATTACTATCTACCGCTAACAGAATAGTGTTTGCTTGTTGACTGATTGAAATGATAAACAAGCATATGTGCAAGATATGCGAAGAGTTCGTAAGAAACTTTAGAGTAATTATCTTTTTACAGAGTTCAAGATGTTAATGACAATGTCTAAGAGTTAAAACATATAAATTCATCATGTTGAAAATATTTAAAAAATGTGTTATCATTATATATTCTTTTATCGACTTATTTATATGAGTAGTTTCCATTTTATTTTAAATCTAATCTATTAAAAAGAATCATGTCGAAATTGTTTTTCACTCTGTGTTTATTGATAAAGTAATTGAGATCAAAAATTAATTGGTCCAAAAAATAAACGAATTCCTTGTTTATAGTTGTCCTCTAACGTTAATATACAAGTTTTATACATTTTTATAAATCATTTTCGTGATATTGTTGATCAAACGAAAGTTGGTATGGTTCCAGTGAATCGTATCGAACAATAATTAGATGCACAACTGGTAGTAAAAACTAATAAGCTATTGTAGTGACTTGAACACTTATTTTTTACTCATTTTTGTCAAACATCATGGTTTTTGTTGAACTTTTCTTTTGTAATTTTGTAAGTTTTTTCAAAAATTCATTGACTTCCATCGACATCTAGTTATTTCTTTACTTAATTCATCCAGCAGGTCTTATTTAACCATTACAGATGATCTGATGTAGGTTATTCATAAAGATGATCTTATTTTAATGTTTATAGACACAGATATTTATTGTAAAACCTGTTGAAGGCTAATTATTTTCGACTCCGACATCCAGAAAGTCTGAAAAGTCAATTGTTGTAAGTTTGCGATATTAACATCATTTTATTTACTTTTTATTTACGTTTTGTGTCTGTATAGATATATTTCTTTGATATTATTTTGTCGCTCTTAAAACTTGTTTAGAAACTTACGGAGTAGAATAATTTTTCTACTTTTTCTTCGTTATTTAATATTTGTAGAATTGAGTTATTGATGTGTAAGAGCAAATGCTCTACTTTGTTTTATTATGGTAATCCCATAGTGATTTCCAAAATCATTATGAATCAAACTTCAAGGAATAATCTTTTTACAACATCAGTTACTACTTTGATTGCAGAAAAATTTATTTTAGCAACTCTGTATCCGTTAGAATTGGGTTTTTAAAGTCGATGCACGTTTATAATTTCTAAACATAGTAAGGGTTTTGAACTAAACTATTGATTGCAGATTAGAAAAATTCCTGTAGAATTTGATGATAGGCAATCTTTTCTCTGTGATTCCTTTAAAAAATTTTGGAGAGACGATTTACCTTAGTCTTAGGATTCGCAACAGTAGATCTTAAATATTCTAATAAATCTTTTTTTTTATTACCAAAACGAACAGCTACAGCAGATCACTCCTTGTGAGGATTCAAAAACTAATCTTCTACAAATTAAGCGACAATATGACAACGTGAGGTCGCTATCTGACATTCAACAAGATCGTATAAATTTTTCAAGTGTCAATAATAAAATACGATTGGATAACCTTTATTCACGTGTTACTAGTTTTTTTTTCTTTACTTATTTGTTTTATTATTTTATCTATCCTTTGCTATTTGAATTTATTGTTTTATATAGCATTCTTATGGCTCATGATAAAATATTATTTGAACGAAGTAATGTTTTTATTAAAGACCGATTATCACAAACGGAAAAACAAGCAGCATCACTTGATGAAATAAAAGGAACAATAACTATTTTTGAAAATGAACGTGGCAAATTCTTTAATTTTAAACCATTTGGTCTTGAAGATAGTATGACAGATGATTGGGCATTAGTTAATGGTGGTAAATCAATAGTTTCTTTTAAAAATAGATCAAATGATAAAGATTCTATAGCCGTTTCAGCAAGTCCATTATTAAAATTTCGTTATTATTTTAACATAAATAATTTACGAAGTATTCGTCGACATCACCTGTTACATGGTATTGCGTATTTGATAATTGTACTTAAAGATGGTACAACTTTACCAGCATTTCATTTTAATCTTGGTGGAAGTCGAGAACTTTTACAATTATTTATTAAACATTTAAAACTTGAAAAGTAAAAAAGAAAAACACAACATGTTTTAAAAAACAAGACAAATTTTTTTTTAAAATAAGGTCAACACAAGATAGTCAAATTTATATTGCCAAAGATGATCTTCCACAAGAGAATATAACAGAATCAATAAGTGTTTTTGATCAATTAAATTTATTTGATGATTCAAGTAGTATGATGAAACGAATTGTAAGTGGAAAACAATTGAGTTCTTTTTAAATGATTGATATGTACATTCATCAGAAACATACTATGATTACATTGATGCTGAGCGTCAGCGGCCAGATAGT